AGGATGGGGGAGCAGGGGAGACAGGAAAGTGGGTGACGAGCACTGAGGAGGGCATTGTTGGGATGAGCACTGGGCGTTGCATGTAAGCCATGGACCTGGGGAATCTCGCCCCAAAGCTAAGAGCACACTGCACACACTGTATGTTAGCCCACCTGACAATAAGTTATATTTTTTAAAAAGGTTAAGAAGATAAAAAAAGAAAGGCAAACCTCGAGAACAGTGTGTGTGTGTGTGTGTGTGTGTGTGTCCATGCGCGGTAGACGTGAGGGGTGCTCCCCACCTTGGGGCGTGACCCTGGGAACTCGGAAGGCAGGAGCTCCGTTAGCTGGTGTGCGGGCGGCGCTGTGAAAACAGAGCCCTCAAAGCTCAGGCAGAAATGGGCACAGCTTTCCAAGGTCACGTGACCCGGGACTACCCGGTGCGAAAGCTAATTTAGGACCGTTGGTTTAATTAAAACACATGTCTTTCGAATGATCAGCATTAAACTGAAGACTTCTGCTTGTGTTGAGTAGAAGTCTAACAAGTCCGTGTTTCCCTTGCAAAATTTCTCAGGAGAAAAAAAAAGGTAAGAAGAGTGGGAATGCATTTTTTGTTTAGGGAGAAGACAGTGGTTGTGTCCTAAATGAGGATCTTTGGGGAAAAAAACTTGAGACAATTATCTGCATGTAAACAGGGAGGTGGTGAACAGTTTACGGAAAAGCAACATCTTAGGAGAAGACTTCACACATGGCTAGTAAGTGGCTAAAAAAAAGATAAAGTTTTTTGTTTTTTTTTAATTTATTTAATTTGATGCAGAGAGACAGAGAGGGAGGCAGAGGATCTGAAGCAGGCTCCAGTCTGCGCTGCCAGCAGAGGGCCTGATGTAGGACTTGAACTTGAGCACAGGATCATGACCGGAGTCAAGGCTGATGCTTAACTGACTGAGCCCCCCCAAGCGCTCCTCAGGTGAAGGTCAGTGTAAGTAAGTAACTGAGTTTCAGTGTCAAAACTACACTGGTGCAACGCTGTCTCTGCTAAAAAAACCAAAGTTTTCTTGAGCTATCGCTCTGCTGTTCATGAAAAAGTATAGAGAAGTTTTTCTTTACCTTTACAGTCATTCCCCTTTCCCCACACAAAAGACTCTGTTTTGCCAAACCTGAGTCAATATGAGAAGAGCTCCATTTTGCTCACAACGATGTACACATCCTGCATTTGCTTTCCACATTTAGTGGTCCCTGTGGTGTAACAAATGCCTGTCATGGGTTCATGAGGACCTGTGATCCTGTTTAATCAAATGTGCAAAGCTTTCCATATTATTTTTGGGAAACACTTGCTAAAATCAAATTCTAAAATAAAGTCTTTGGGGGGCTCCTGGCTGGCCCAGCCTGAGAAGCATGGAGTGCTTCATCTCAGGGTTGTGAGTTCAAGCCCTCGTACAAGAAGAAGATGACATTGAAATGTAGATTCAAGAAGAAAAAAAGAAAGATGCAAAACTTCCCATTAAAGAAGGAAGATTATTAATGTCCATCTTCATTGGGGATGAGACTCTCAAACGGCTTTGGTACTTAGCTGCCAGTGCAGACGTGACAGTCATTGAGGGGACCCCTCCCTGAGGTGGACTGGGAGGCAGGAATGGGGGGGCAGCGAGGGGAGCCCCCAGGGCGAAGGGCACACTGCGCGTCTCCAGCAGCAGGTGCCCCTCCCCCTGCAGCCCGGAGAGAAGCTCGCATCACCCTCACCCCTGCTTTTCTCCCGCTTCTCTTCTCCCTGAAGAAGCATTCCTCTCTTGTTTGTTGGACTTGCCTATGATTTTGCCTATTGGATTTGTCCCAAGTTACAATTTTGCTCTTCCCAAATAAACCCACTTTTCGTTGGTAAAACAACTTTTATTTTTTCATACACATTTAAAAGTATTATGAGGGGGGGCGCCTGGGTGGCTTAGTCGGTTAAGCGTCTGACTTTTGCTCAGGTCATGATCTCGCGGTTTGTGGGTTCGAGCCCCGCGTCGGGCTCTGTGCTGACTGCCAGCTCAGAGCCTGGAGCCTGTTTCAGTTTTTGTTTCTCTCTCTCTCTCTGACCCTCCCCTGCTCATGCTGTCTCTCTCTCTCTCTCCTAGAAATAAATAAAAAACATTTAAAAAAAAATAAAAAGTATTATGAGGGGCACCTGGGTGGCTCAGTCAACCGAGCAGCTGACTTTGGCTCAGGTCGTGATCTCATCAAGGCTCCTGGGGTTGAGCCCCCACATCAGGGTCTGTGCGGGCACCACGGAGCCTGCTTGGGACTCTCTCTCCCTCTCTCTCTGTCCCTCCTGTGCTCATGCTCTCTCTCTCTAAAATAACAGAAACGTTAAAGAAATTGAAAAATATATAAATGTCGGGAAAACTTTGATTAAAACAGTAATAATTATGGTATGGCAGAAATATATCCTTGGCAACGATTTACATTTATGATGCAGAAATTAAATGTCTACTTGGTGTGTGGAAGATGAATTTTTCAAAATTCTTCATTTTTTTAAAGTCTTTTTCTAGGGGCACCTGGGTGACTCAGTTGGTTAAGCATCCGACTTCACCTCAGGTCATGACCTCATGGTTCGAGCCCCACGCCGGGCTCTGTGCTGACAGTTCGGAGCCTGGAGCTGCTTCAGATTCTGTGTCTCCCTCTCTCTCTCTGACCCTTCCCTGCTCATGCTGTCTCTCTCTCTCTCTCATAGAAATAAATAAATAATTAATTAAGTTTCTTTTTTTTAAAGCTTATTTTATTTTGAGAGGCAGGGGGAGGAACAGAGAGAGAGAGAATCCCAAGCAGGCTCCATGCCGTCAGCGCAGAGCCCGACGCTGGGTTCAGACTCATGAACTGTGAGCTCATGACCTGAGCCGAAATCAAGAGTCAGACACTTAGCTGACAGAGCCACTCCGGTGCCCCTGAATTTGTTCAAGATTCTTTCAGGGGACGAGGGAGTGTAAAGTTTGGTGATCAGTGCCTTAAAAACAGCTCTGATTTCAGTGCAGGGAGGGTGAGAGCAGACGCCACTGAGTCCCTTTCCTGTTCCCCACCGCACTGTCCTTGGCTCCCCAACTCTGCTTCTTGGCTTCGGGGCTCCTCAGGCCCCCCGGGCAGACGCCCCCTTCTCTGCTATGACTTTCACAGGGACGGTTTACAGGTTGGCCTCAGGCTGCTCACAGGCGAGGGGCAGGGGGAGAGGGTCCTCCAAATGCGTTGGGCTTTGGAGAAGGTCCCACACGGACAGGGAAAACCAAGTTGTAATCGCCTATAGAGAGTTCAGAAGGCTTAAAAAATCCTGTATTTTGGGTGAGGTGCCAATACACAAAGATTGTTATTTTATTTCTTTAACAATTTTTTAAATGTTTTCTTCATTGTTGAGAGCAAAAGAGACAGAGCATGAGTGTGGGAGGTGGAAAGAGAGAGAGACACAGAATCGAAAGCAGGATCCAGGCTCCGAGCGGTCAGCCTGATGTGGGGCTCCAGCTCACAGACCGAAAGATCATGGCCTGAGCCAAAGTCGGATGCTTAACGACTGAGCCACCCAGGCGCCCCGCCTTTCTTTTTTTTGAATGTTTATTTATTTATTTTGAGATGGGGGGAGGGGGGAGGGGAAAGACTGTGAATGGGGGAGGGTCTCTCAGAGAGAGAGAGGGAGATTCCCAAGCAGGCTCAGCACTGTCAGCACAGAGCACAATGCAGGGCCCGAACCCACGGACTATGAGACCATGACCTCATCTGAAATCGTGAGTCAGACACTTAACTGACGGAGCCACCCAGGAGTCTCAAAATAGTCATATTTTTATACTAGTAACAAGCAAGCGCTGAAATGAAATTTGATGGCAATGATAATGACATTAAACACATGACTATTTAGGGAGCCTTCTGACAAAAGACGGGGGAGCCCTGCAGTCTGCCATCTGCACCCCGCTGCCAAGGGAGAGCACGGAGCTGCCCGGTGGGGGGGGGGTCTCCGGGGAACCGGCCCAGAGCTTGGGGGACGCAGCGCCCTGGGGGGGCTGCCAACACGGTGTGCGGGGCTTTAGGGTTTGTGTCTCTGCGGGAGGCTGTCTCCTGCCTGTGCCCCGTACTCGGCGCTGCTGTGACGGGACCGAGCGTGGGAAGTACTTGTTGGATGAAGGACAATGGCTACACTGAAGGCAGCAGCCAGAACGACTTAAGAGCCTCTCAGAAACCTCCTTCTCTAGAACGCTGGTCCCCGCCCCCCCCAGGGTGGGGGCTCCATGAGCCTGCGGGGCGCTGGGAGGAGACTGGGCCCGGGGTCGCCCTGGGGAGTCCTGAGTTGGGGGCACGGACCGGAAGTGGGGAGACCCTCTGTGCCCGGTCAGGCGCGGGCCCTCCGGGGTCATCCTTACAGGGGCTGCGGGGTGGCCTCCCGGACCAGTTGCTACAGATGCTGGTCTGACTTCCTAGGAGTTTGACTTGTGGCGGCCTGGCGTTCTGACGGACTCCGGAGAGGGTCAGATGTGGGGGTGTCTGCAGGGGAGGGTCTGGGTGTGTGTGGGGGTGTCTGCAGGGGAGGGTCTGGGTGTGTGGGGGTGTCTGCAGGGGAGGGTCCGGGTGTGTGTGGGGGTGTCTGCAAGGGAGGGTCTGGGTGTGTGTGGGTGTCTGCAGGGGAGGGTCTGGGTGTGGGGGAGGTCACTCAGGTGAGGGCGGGCGACCGCGCATCTGCCTTTCCGCGGACCCTCCGGGGACCAGTCGTAGCCGAGGGGATCGCAGTTCCTAGGCCCGCGCCCCGCCCGGCGCAGCACGACCTCCAGTGCACAGCGTCCGGTCCCGCCCCTCGCCGCGCCTGCGCACCCGTGTCCAGTCCTCAGCGCCCTCGCCCGCACGCACTCCCGCCCCTCCCTGGAGTACCGGTTTTGCGCACGCGCACTGAGCTGCTTAGGCGAGGCCGCTACCCGCGCCGCGCACGCGTCTCACGCGCCGCACGCGTCCCGCGTTCTCGCGCACGCGCAGGCCCCTCCCCGCGGCCAATTGGCGTCGCCGCGGCTTATCCGGCGTTTATCTGTTGTGCGTCCGCGGGCGCGCGTTAGTTGGTCCGGGTGCGAGGTCGAGGCTGCGCGGTCTGCTGGGTCCCGCGCTCCAGTCCCGGTTCCCCGCCCGCCCTCGGAGCGCCCGGCGCCCACCTGACCCCGGTTCGCGGTCGCAGCGCCGTCGCTGAGGCGCCATGTCGCAGAGCGGGACTCCTGGACTGCAGGAGGAGAACTTGCAAGGTGAGGCCGCGGGAGCGGGGCGCTGACGAGCAGCGCTGGGGGCGGGGGGTGCGGGCCTGGCGGCCCCGGGCGCGGGTTGGGGCCGTGGCGGGGGGCTGGCGGGGCCGTGGCGGGGGGCTGGCGGGGCCGTGGCGGGGGAGGGCCGGAGCCGGGGCGGGGGGTGGCCGGGCCCGAGTTGGGGCCGGGGCGGGGGGCGGCTGGGGGCCGGCGGGGCTGGGGCGGGGGTTGCCGGACCCGAGTTGAGGCTGGGGCGGGGGGCAGCCGGGGCCGGCGGGCAGGGAGCGGACGGCCCGAGTTGGGGCCGGGGCGGGGGGGGCGGCTGGGGGCCGGGGCGGGGGGCGGCCGGGGCCGGCGGGCTGGGCGCAGGTCGGGTATCCCAAATAAGCGTTTTACTCCGTATCCCGAGCTCTGGCGTTGGTTGTAGCGAGCGGACGCCGAAGGTGGCTCTGGTTGAACTGTGGGCTTTGGATTTAAGCCGTTGCTGGCTCTGCCGGTGTCGAGTGTTGGGACGTCCTCCGGAGGCAGGAGAGGATGAAGGGGTTACTGGTGATACAGGGCTCGGGTCCACCGGCCGCTGTTCTTAGTGTATAAACAGCTTAGGAAGTGTGAGCATGTAAGTGCCTGTTTTTTTAAGTGCGGTTCCGCTTGTGCCAGAAGATTCATTGCAAAGCAAAGCTCAAAACTGACTTGCGGGAGTAAAAAAAAAAAAATCGCTGTTCCCTCCAGCCCGCGGTTCCACACCGGGCGGTGCTCCCGGCAGACGCTTGTCCCCAGCCTGGCTGCTGTGTCTGGGTCTCTGGCATTTCGGGGAAGCAGGGCTCCCAGGGCCGATTGCCGCACAGCCAGGTGGGGGCCGGAGACGCCGCCCTGGGGCTTGCCTGGGGAGCCGCCGGGGGAGTGAGCCCCAGGGCCCAGGAGAGGCCGGTGGCCCACGACCTTTGTATTCTCTGAAGCAAACGTTCACTAATCCGAGTGAGCATGTAAATAAACTGTGGAGAGGGCTGTTCAAACCTTTGTGAGTGAAGTTTTAAGCTTTGTGTTAAGATTGTTAAAATGCTTCTATTCAGAGAAATGCGGGGCGCGGTTCATCCGTCCTCACACCGGATCTGACCAGGCGAGCAGGCACGTTTTTAAGATCCTGTAATCTCTTTAAAGTTCCACACTGACTAGTTCTTTGGAATCGATAAAGAGATTAAGGGCTTAAAGGGTTTCTTCTGTCGGTAGGAGCCAAGGGGCGGGTTATAAATCTCTGCCCCGATCCTCCTTTCCTAACTGTCAAGCTCCTTGCTTTCCGACGCCCAGTCCCGCAGTTGTCCCGCTCGCTCCCGGGGGGGCACAGATGGAGCTGCCTCGACTCCCCCCGGACGGCTGAGTCGTCGCGGTGCAAAATTGCCAGCTTCTGAGTTAAAAGATTTGTTTTTCTGTTTCGCTTATTCTATAAAAAGATGTTTACACACTGAGTGGAAATTCAGCTGAAGGGCTCTTCAGGCTGTTCTCTTGCGCCTACGTGCTGTCGGGCACTAGGTCACTGTCTGCCCAGCGTGGGCAGGGCCACGCGTCACGTCACGTGGGGCCCCGCGGCTGCCCTGGGAAATGTGACTGGCCTGGTGCCCCGGTCTCGGTTCTGGTTTGATCGCCTCGTGTTGATCTCCTGCCCGAGAGCCCAGAAAGCCTCCCTCACCCGCCGTGCAGACGGCAGCAGAGCCGACTGTTCCCTGTGTGCCCCTGGTCCCTTCTGGTTTCAGCAAGATCCTGCTCTGCCTTTCTTTCCCCCCGATGTGCAGGCGCTGCCAGGCAGGAGGGCGGTAGGGTGGGGGGGGGGGTGGCATGACTGACTTCCCCGGAGGACCCCCGAATTCCAAGCAGACTGGACTGCTCACGAGAGCATGGACCCTCTCCCCCCCCAGCCGGTCACACTGCACACAGGCAGCCCGCTCTGGGCAGAGGCGTCCCACCAAAAAATGGGACTTTGTTTTTGGCAGGAAAGTTCTGGTAGAAATGTGCAGTTTGAGAGCGCAGGTTTCAGACACGTAGATCCTAGCCTGACCCGCACTCTCACAGATGGTCACTGGGAGGCCTGAGGTGGAGTGAAGAATCGGGCGACCACAGGTACAGGGAGAGTCTGGCTCCCCGTGAGGCGCGGGGGTGCTGCTGGGAGTCTGGGGGGACAGTGCAGGCAAGATCCCGAGTTATGAGAGGCCTGGGTCACATCAAGTCTCTCGTTCTTTCCCACCTACCTTGAGAAGCATGCGTGCATTTATTTAATACTGTTTTGCTTACTCATAAATATATGGTTGTGTTTATAGAGAAGTTTCTAGAACATGCAGTTTTCCCAGGGAGGAAGCCCTCTGAGGTGGGAGCTAGTTCCTCAACCCTTAGCGGCTGCTCTCCCTCTGGGATGTGCGCCTTCTCAGACATCCTCGATTCTGATTCCATCTGTCCCACTGTGTCGCAGGTTATGACGACGCCTCCATTCCTCTGACCAGTCCGTTTCAACGCTGGCTGCCCACGTCCCTTTATAGCTTTCTCAAAATACGCACCTGCTGGGGTCTGCCTCAGCATTCCAGAGCGGGGTTCTCAGAGCGCCGGGGTGGGGGGGCTTCTGGAGAGCGGGCGGAGGACCTGCCCCCCAGAGCACAGCCCTAGGGAGACGGGATGTGTAGGGGGCAGTGGGTGGGGGTTCCCTGTGGACTCACATGGCACAGTAGAGGCAGGAGGTGTGGCTGGCACTTCATCTCCGGCTTGTCCCCAGGTGCGAGATGGCCTTGCCTGTGTCCCCATTAATGTGGCCCGCACATGGCGGGGGGCAAGGGAGGGACAGGACGTCAGGAAGGGGCCCTGCCTTGGACCAGCAGCAGCCCTGCCGGGTTCCTGGTAAGGCTGACGGTGCCCGGCTGCTTGGATCGTTTGTGACTCTGAGAAGCTTTCTGAGGTGGCCAGGACCCCTTAATCCCCGCCTTTCCTGCTGGAAAGACTGGGATCTTAGCGGGTATGTGACGGGTGGGCGGACAGCAAGCCGGTCTCCCCTTCCAGGAAGTGTGCTTCCTGCCCAGTTGTGCAGGTTAATAATGAAACTCTCTTCCTAGTAAATCATTCTTGGAAAACAGCTTTTGGACCCAAAGCTTTCGCTGTACACAATCCAGAATGGGATTTTTTTCTCAGGATGCTTACAACTTTTTATGACGTGTTTTTAAAAAGCATGGCATAGGGGCGCCTGGGGGGCTCAGTCAGTTAAGCATCTGACTTAGGCTCAGGTCATGATCTTGCAGCTCATGGGTTCGAGCCCCCCGTCGGGCTCTGTGCTGACAGCTCAGAGCCTGGACCTGCTTCGGATTCGGTGTCTCCCTCTCTCTCTGACCCTCCTCCACTCATGTTCTCTCTCTCTTTGTCTCAAAAATAAATAAATTATTAAAAAAAATTTTTTTTTAAAGCATGGCATGGTCGGGGCGCCTGGGTGGCTTAGTCGGTTAAGCGTCCGACTTGCGCTTAGGTCATGATCTTGCGGTTCGTGGGTTCGAGCCCCGTGTCCGGCTCTGTGATGACAGCTAGCTCAGAGCCTGGAGCCTGTTTCAGATTCTGTATCTCCCTCTCTCTCTGACCCTCCCCTGCTCACACTGTGTCTGTCTGTCTCTCTCTCTCTCTCCTAGAAATAAATAAAAAATAAATAAATAAAAAAAATAAAAGCATGGCATGGTCTCCTTGGGTCTTGAGCTGACTCTTGTGATATAACAGGAAAATAGGTCCGCACTTACATTTAATAATGTAACATGTCAGTTCTATCTCAGTTTTTTTATTTATTATTATTTTTTTAAGATGTTATTTTTAGGTAATCTCTGTACCCAACATGGGGCTAGAACTCAGGACCCCAAGATCAAATCCGTCCCGTGCTCTTCGGCCTGAGCCACCCGGCGATCCTGTTCTATCTGGTCAGAAAAGTATATGTTTGGGGTCTTTCCCCTGTACCCTGGCACCGGGCTCCAGAGCTCCTCAGGGTTTCTTGAGTGACAGTAGTGTCTTATGGGTGAGGAGCCCCTTGGAACACATGGGGTCTGCTAATGAGGTGGCTTAGTGGGGACCTAGGTGGCCCCCGCCCCGCTCTGGGGCCGGAGCAACCAGAGGGTTAGGAAACCTTCAGAGGCTGCGAGTTTCACTGGTGCACAAGCTGGGGTGCAGGAGCTGTCCCTGAGTTGGGTCCTTTCTGGAAGCGGGTGTGCGGGGCGTTTTCCTGGCTTCTGGGAGTTGTTTTAGGGAAGGATGGGGCCCAGGCACGTGTGGAGGGAGCCCCCGCCCTTGTCGTCTGCGGCAGAAGCGCAGGGAGCCTGGGCACCCGGTCTGCCTTGTGAGGCGGACCGCGGGGGGGGGTCACAGCCGATTGGAGACCAACCAACCACACACCCCCCTCCCAGCACATTCCATGTCAGAAGTGAGGTGAAAAGAGCCTGCACCCCTCAGACTCCAGGCACCAGAGCTCTGGGACACCCGCTCAGCAGCCCGGGTGGAAAGGCCAGATGTGCAGTCTCGGATAGGTGTGCGGGGCGCTCTGGGGGTGCTGTGGCTTCCAATGACATGCGGTGGCCCGCAGCCCTGGGCTCCTAGGCGGACGCTGTGCTCCTGTGGGCCGGGACGCAGCTGGAGACGTGTGTGAATGTTAGGCAGCTGGGTGGCCGAGTCTTCAACTTGCTTTTTTCTGAAGTGACCTGTGGTACAAGCAGCTGCTGAGGGAAGGTCAGGACTCAGAAGAGACGCCCAGCTGGCTGGACGGGACCTCCGGGTCACTGTCCCCCCGGCTGCACGGCATAGGGCTGCGCAGGGCGCTGGTCATCACAGTAGTTAGAGGAAGTACGTGCGGCTCACTGCATGTTGCCTTTGGTGGCCTGCCTGCACCCTGTCCCCGCCCGGACATGGACCCGTGATGCAGAATAGAGGGACTGGCTTGTCGGGCTCAGAACCAGACCTGCAGGTCTTCCTGACCTGCGACAGGAAGCAGCCCTGCAGGGGGAGCGCAGCAGCTGGGCGTCCACGCCGGTGTGCGCGCGGGTCCCCCCGGGCTCGGGAAACCCACAGCCGCACGCTGGTCCCGAGAGCACAGGTCTTCAGGGCCTCCGAGCAGGGAGAGAGTGAATGTTCCGTTCGTGAGAACAGGACGTTAGTGGGAGAAGGCGAGTCTCTGGAATTCTCGCGACAGGGTCAGATGAGAGAGGCTCGGGGCCTGAATACTGAGCTCTTACAGGCAGAGGGAGAGATTGTTGACCAGCTAATGTGAAAAGATGCTGTCCGAGTGGCCAGGAAACCTGCAAATCCAGCCAATTTCATGGGAAATGGGAGAATCGTCCCAGCGCCTGGGTGGCTCAGTTGGTTGAAACGTCTGACTCTTTTTTTTAATTTTTTTTTTTTTATGTTTTTTATTTATTTCTAGGAGAGAGAGAGAGACAGCGTGAGCAGGGGAGGGTCAGAGAGAGAGGGAGTCACAGACTGAAACAGGCTCCAGGCTCCGAGCTGGCAGTCAGCACAGAGCCCGACGCGGGGCTCGAACCCACCAACCGCGAGATCATGACCTAAGTGAAAGTTGGACGCTTAACCGATTAAGCCACCCAGTCGCCCCTGAAACGTCTGACTCTTGATTTTGGCTCAGGTCAGGACTTCAGGGTTCTCGAGTGTGAGCCCCAGGCTGGCCTCTGCCTAAAGGGTGGAGGCTGCTAGGGATTCTGTCTCCTCTCTCTGCCCCTCCCCTGTGCATGCTCTCTCTCTCAAAATAAACATTAAAAGGGGAGGGGTGGTGCTAGAGTGGCTGACTTTGGCTCAGGTCATGATCTCGCTGTTTGTGGGTTCTAGCCCCACATCCAGCTCTGCTGACAGCCCAGATTCTGTGCTTCTTTGGATTCTGTGCCTCCCTCTCTCTATGCCCCTCCCCTGCTTGTGCTCTGTCTCTCAAAAGTAAATCTTAAAAAATCCGAGAAACGTAAAATCACTTGATGCCATCACAGAAGGGCCACCCACGCAGACCGGTGGCACCAAGCGTGCGGCAGCGCCGGTTTCTTGGGAGGCCTGGGTGCTGGAGCAGCTGTGTGCCCGCCAGGTGTCTCCCAGTAACTTGTGGTGCCCACGGACACAGCTCGCGATCGGCAGTTCGGAAGCGCCAACGGCTGCTGCCCCAGATGTGAAGCAGGCCACGGACCCAAGAAGTGCCGGCCTGCAGTGCGCCCTGCCACGGCATGCGTCCATGAGCACTTGGGGCCCCAAGTCCGGCCCCAGAGCCCACGCCGAGCTGCACCCTCTGGATGTCTGTTTGGGGGGTCACATCCCCCCTTTGGGGGAGGGGCCTGACTGTCCCCGGGCCCCCCTGCCTGCTCTCGGCCCCAAACCTGGGCATTCGCACAACCCATAGCTCCGCCCCAGCCCGTCCCTGCCCTGCATATGGCTGCAGGGTTGACCCGAGTCTGTGGGGATGGGACAAGCAGGCTCCCCGTGGGGGTGGCTTCGTCTGGTCCTTGGCTCCCAGCCCGCGCCCAGTTTTAGATTGGACTGCGTTTCCCCCAGAACTGCGGGCTGTGCTGCGGGGGGTATTTGGGGAGCACGTGATGCGGTGCTAAGACAGCTCTCTGAACGCACAGAGTCTGGGTAGAAACAGTTTGGGATGTATAAGGGACGTCAGAGTTTAGTAAGTTTAAGAACCGTGAACTTCCAGTAACCATGGGTAGCTTGACTTCGCAAGATGCTTTGCTCTGCTTAATCACATTTAGTGAGAAATTACCGTTGTTCTAGAGCACGTTCCTCCAGCTTCTGATGGAAGACACACAGCGGTCAGGAGCCAGTGCTGGGAGGTGTCGGGATCAGAATGTGCTACTGGTGTGGAAATAAGCACATACGAGATAGTTTAAGACTTTAAAAAAAATTTAAATCCCTTAAGATGTTGATACTCTTTTTCCGAAAACTGAGTTGAAAGCATCCCAGTCAGTGGACCCGGCTGACCCAGTGGCCAGGGTTTGGTGGCTGCCGGGAGACTGTGTGTCCCCTGCCCTCAGGACTGCAGGGTGGGCCACTTCCTTTAGGACCAGGCTCCACAGTAGGTAGAAAATCCAAGCTGTGTCCTTTCTCGTCTCCCAGGCTCCTGGGTGGAATTGCATTTCAGCAATAACGGGAATGGGAGCAGCGCTCCGGCCTCTGCTTCTATTTATAACGGCGACCTGGAGAAGATCCTGCTGGACGCCCAGCACGAGTCCGGACGGAGCAGCTCCAAGAGCTCCCACTGCGACAGGTGGGTGTGAGCGAGCGTCCGCGCCCAGGGCGGCTGCTCAGAGCCGGGCAGTCACCGTCGCAAGTGCTGAGCCCGGGCCGCCTTCAGGAGTGGCCTCCCCCCTCCCTCCTCCATAGAGAGTGGGCCCGGGCTTGGTCTGTGGAGGGACCACAGTAAAGTCAGGGGGGGTGGGGGGAGGGCAGAGGGCAGATAACCAGCCCGGCCCCGGAGCCTCTGGCCCCGACCTGTCTCGGCTCTGTCCTCTGGGCCACCACGAGCTGCTGGTGAGTCGGGGCAGCTGGTCTCGTCAGAAACCCACGGTCAGGTGCCGTCAGCAGAGCCGCGCACTGAGCCGCTGGGGAGCGCGCCTGCGGCTGAATCGCGTCCACCCCAAGGCCTGGTCCTCGCTGCCAGCCAGGCTCCCCTGACAGTGCTCCCTCCCTGGGGAAGCGGTCCTGGGGGCCGGGGGCGGGCTTTTCGGACAGAAATAACGTCCCGCCTCGCTGTTCTCTTTCCTGTGTGCGTCACCACCAAGCCCGCCCCGCTCGCAGACCCCTCAGGATACGAACCGAGCTTCGGAGATAGACACGCACAGCATCGGAGAGAAGAACAGCTCTCAGGTGGGGGCGCGGCTGTGACGTGCGCGGTGCCCGTGGCAGTGGGGCGGACGTGAAGAGGGCCTGGATTTTTAGGGTGTCTCTTGCCTTTTATAAAAACTTGGGTGGGGGGGCGGCAGCCACCACTCGGGCTTCCCACGGAGCCAGCTGGCTCTGGTCACAGATGGGCTGGGGCCTCTGTGCCACCCGAGGACACTTGGGGACGGAGGTGGGTTCTCCCAGGCCTGCAGCCTGGACAGGGGCCCCTGTGGCCAGTGGGAAGCGTGGCTGGGAGCCTGTTAGCCACTGTCAGTGGGTGTGAGCCCCAGCTGTTTGCGAGAGCCTGGCATTACTCCCAGAGCCTTTTGGGGCCCCCTGCCACACCCCTTCCTCGATGGATGCTCTAGACGCTTCCAGAAATGATGCCTCAGGCTGTGCTGACTGGTGCTGGCACGGTTCGTGTGAGGAGCTCACTCTGCTAACGTTTGCTCAACTGGCTAATGGGTCTCACACGATAGGTGCTTCAGTCGTGTCGTGGGGGCTCCAGTGTGAGAGCCCAGGGCTCTGGTGGTGCTCGGCCTCTCCAGCCCACCCCCCCCATCCCCACATCTGTGCGTGTTGGGATGAACAGGAAGTGTTTTGGTTTTTTTTAATGTTTTATTTCTGAGAGAGTGCACGTGGGGGAGGGGCAGAGAGACCGAATCCGAAGCAGGCTCCAGGCCCCCAGCCGTCCGTGCAGATCCTGACGCAGGGCTTGAGCCCACCAGTCACGGATGATGACCTGAGCCGAAGTCAGACACTTGACTCAGCCCCCCAGGTGCCCCTGGGAAGTGTTTTCTTTAATAATTACAGTAACATGAACAGTTGACTTCCTTTCCCATATTTATTTCAAAGTCTCTTAGGAAGCAAGGTCTTGAAGTCAGTGCCACTGAGTCACTTGATCCCGTGGGGACTCCCCTCAAGGCCTGCCTGCCACCTCGGCTCTCCGAGGGCTGTCCCTGGTGCCCCAGGTGCCCTGATGGTGCCCCCCCCCCCCCCCCCCCCCCCCCCCCCCGGGCAGCTACTGCGTTCTGTATTTCCAAAATATTGTGTTTTTTCAGATTTTAAAAAGGGATTAACAGGATGTACTAAGGTATAGACAGAGGTTTTATTTATTTATTTTCTAATGTTTTATTTCTTTATTTTGCTAGGGAACAAGCCAGAGAGGGGGTGAGAGAGAGAGGGAGAGAGAGAATCCCAAACAGGCTCCATCTGTCAGCAGGGAGCCCCACTCGGGGCTGAAACTCACTCCCATGAGATGGACCTGAGCCAAAATCAAGAGTTGGACAGTTAACCGGCTGAGTCTCCAGGCGGAGATTTATAAATGCAAAAAAGAGAAAACCACCTCTAATTAGTTCTTGTACATATTTTAAGATGTGGCTTGAAACCACAGGTATATATGTAAGGTTTTGGCTTCTTCACTCCCGCCAAACATCGAACAATTAAAATTGTTCTTTTCCCACCTGATCAAGGAGCGCTGTGCCGTTTCAGAGCCGCAGCCTGTCCTGGGTTTAGATTTCTATTCTCTCGTCGCAGCCCTGCGGTCAGTGTGCGCGTGGGCGCCGGGTCCCCGCTCTTGCACGTTGCTTCCTCGGGACAGTGTTTGCAGCCTCGGCGTCTGTCCGAAAAGGAGGGACGCAGGTGGAAGCGAGGCCCCCGTGGCCTGCTGCCCACCCGGGGCCCCCAAGCCCGGCCTGCTGACGGCCTGTGGGCGTGGCCGCGTGGGGCTGACTGACTCTTCACCTGGACTCTGTTGCAGTCCGAGGAAGATTATATGGAGAGAAGGAAAGAAGTGGAAAGTATCTTGAAGAAAAACTCAGACTGGATATGGGACTGGTCCAGCCGGCCGGAAAACATCCCCCCCAAGTGAGTGTCTTCGGTGTCGCGGGTCCTCCTGGGCACAGCGCCTGGTGGCTCGCTTGCATGTGTGTCTGTCCCCCCACCCCCACAGGGAGCTCCTTTTCAAGCACCCGAAGCGCACGGCCACACTCAGCATGAGGAACACGAGCGTGATGAAGAAGGGGGGCATCTTCTCGGCCGAGTTCCTCAAGGTCTTCCTCCCGTCACTGCTGCTCTCGCACCTGCTGGCCATCGGGCTGGGGTGAGTGGGGGCGGGGGGTGAGTGGGGGAAGCGAGGCCGGAATCCGCTTCTGTAAGCTGCGTGGGACCCGGGCGTGGGGTTCTGACCGCGGAGGCGCCCGACTGAGCCCTGACGGCGGAGGCTCATCAGTCTGGACCGTCCTGAGTCCCGGGCCGACCCTCCCAGGTGTAGGCGTGTTGTCGCCACACTGGGCACAGCCAGGGAAACGGGGCCTAACCCCCCCCCCCGCCCCCCGTGTCGGTGCTGTTTGCTCAGAACAGCCCGGCCCCGTGCGGGTGGGCGGTGGCCTTAGGGGCCACCAAGCGCTTCGTCCTGCTGCCGTTGCAGCTTGTCGCACTGCCGTGCCATCTTCCGATTCAGGCTGCCACACTCCCTGGCCGGAGGGCTTGGGTTCGGGGCCCAGAGGGGAGCGGGGATGACTGAGCCCCCGCAGCACGGTGCGCTCACCCCTGGACGGGGCACGTGGGGACCCGCCGGCTGGCCCAGCAGCTGTGCGGGGGGCGGGGGAGGGTGCCGAGCTGCCCGCCATCCCTTCTGAGCTTCAGACCCTGTTTGTGCCGGAGACATGGCTTCCCACCGGGCCAGACCCCACACCCTCCTTGCTCAGAGTGTCCCCCCCCCCCACCCCCCCCGCACAGCTTTGCTGTGGCCGGTGCTGCCCCGAGCCCAGCTCTGGCCCGTTGTCCACAGCTCGCGGGGTAGACCCCGTGGGGCTTGGCCCGCTGCCACTTCAGTGCCTGGTTTGGGCCTTCATTTCAAGGTCCGTTGCTGCAGCAGCTCCCAGGCGCCCCGGGGCAAAGTCCCCTCTGGTCCCCCGGGGGCGGTGCCCTGCAGCATGTGGGGCGGGGGCTCGTTTCAGAGCTCTCCTGCCGGCCCGTCGGGGCAGACTGTCCGCCGGTCCCGGCCTGGCCCGCGCTCCCCCCACTGTCTGAGCCCGCCTCTCGGCCCCGGCCCCGGCCTGCCCGAGGGCAGCGCCCCGCTGCCGGGGAGATGGCCTGGGTGGGGCTGGCAGAGGCAAAGCCGCTGGGTCAGCCTGGAGACCGGGGGCTGCGAGTGCCGTTGTGTCGTGAGAGCGTGTCGGGCGCGCAAAGCCTCCCTGTACCGCGCGCACGTGGAGGTCTCCTAAACGGGCTTGTACGGCACACGGTGACGGTGCCGACCCTTGGGTGAGAAGGTGGCAGATACTGTTACAAAACGTTTAAAATGAGGTGGCAGATGTCCCGTCCCCTTGCTCGGCGCCCTGCGCCCGCACTAACCGCTGATCCGCTCTCTCCGAAGGATCTACATCGGAAGGCGTCTCACCACCTCCACCAGCACCTTCTGATGAAGATTCGGAGCCGGGCTCCTCCCCGCGGCGGCGCTGCCGGAGGCCTGTCCCGTCCCCAGGAAGCTGCACCACTGGGATCTCAATGCTGCGCTCCGTTCAGTGACACGAGATGAAAGACGAGCCGGAAGGCGGCGGCTAACCTGTAATCGTGTCCATGGGATCAGTTAGTGCGCATGTCCTGTTGATTAATATCTACCGTAATGATTTGGTAGTGAACTGTTTGGATATTATGAGTAAATAATTTTAACACGCTAGATATGATGTATGTAGCATTTTAACAGATTATCTGTAACCAACTATTCAGTTGAAATACTTTATATTTACAAAGAATGAGTGTTTATTAAGAGGACTACGTAAGGGGTTTGTCCCAGATCAACCTCGTGGCCTTCTCGCGGTTTCGGGAAGCCCTGCATTGTGCGGGCGCAGCCGGGCCACTGACGACACGGCACTCTCGCACGGGTCCTGCTCACGCGGCAGAACCCAGGGCACACACACGGGCTCCCCTGGGACACCAGGCGGGGGGGGGGCGATTGCTGGGTTTGGCCTTCTGGGTGGTGGGTTCTCACGTGCTCTCAGTCCGCGTCAGTCTAAGCGAACGTGTCTGCTGCGGAAGACTGGAAATAAATCAATCTTTGCCAAATCCTTGAGGTGACTGGCCACGGGGTTTAAAGCCAAGTGTCTCAAAAGTATGTGGCTGAGCCAGGTGTCCGTCCCCTTGTTCCCCCACCTTCCTATAGCAGGACAGCGGCGGCCTCGGGGACACGGTATCTCGTGTGTGTCCCGAACCTGCACGCTATGTTCAGTTGTGTTAAAATAAATAACATTTGAAGGTTTTAAAATTTGTGTATATTTAAATGATTACCTCGGGCACGGCAGCCCAGGCCGGCGCGTTCGGCGAAACTGCTGCTGCTTGAATCGTGGAGTCCGTGCCTTCCCGGCGCTCGACCCCTGGAAGAGATCAGGTCACGCGGCAGTGCCCCTGCCCCGTGAACTCCTGCGACAGACAGGGTGTGTCCATCTGTCGTGAGAAACGGGGGCTCATCCCTCTGCTGTCTGTCCCCAGCAGCCGGTGGCCTGACCCGGGGGGCTGCACTCCGCGTGGCCGAGCGGGGTCCTCTGTCTCCAGGGTTGGCGCCCCTTGAGCGGGGTGGCTCCCCCATCACTCTCTGGGTCATCACGTGGGCAGTAGGGGGCCCTCTGCGTGGCACTTCTGTCCCCTTCTGGCTGGAAGTCCTCGAGGGTGGGCGGGAAAGTGCTGTCACAGCAGGGACGCCGGGAATGAGACCCGCGCCTTCGGGAGGCCCCTCCCCAGGGTGCGCGTCTGTGGTCTTTCCTCCTCTCCGGCGTGACGGCAGCACGAGTGACGGCTGGAGTGAACAGCCTTCCTGCGGCTCATTTTATTCGCTGAAGAGCGAGCTTACGTGTCCGGATGATTCTGTCACTCCAGACGGTCTGGGAGCTAAAGAGAGAAACGTGCAACCGCCACTTCTAAATGGGCTTCCGGTCCAGCCACCGGCAGACCCGGGGGACACCTGGACGGGGGTGGGGGGTTCGGTCAGCACCTTGACCACCACCTGCTTGTTCCTGGGACCCGGGACCCCCCTTCTACGACTCCACCCTGAAGATCACCCTCTTAAGGCCTGACCGTTTCCAGCAGCGGGTGGTGTGCGAGCCCCCCCCGCAGCGTGCGGCGAGCTGCCTCCGCCGACCCGGTTCAGAGGAGGCTGAGCCGCTGCGCCCGAACTCAGGCTGACGAACAGAACACAGTACCCGGAAAAGAGGTGGCGCGCCACCGCTCGTGCTGAAGCCGCCCAACAGGCGCCTGCTCGTTTATACGGGAACCGAGCGCGGGCGGCTGGGGGCGCTCCGGGCTCCGTCCAGGCCTTCGAGCCGGGTCCGGGGGCGCGGCGAGCTGGCTGCTCCGGATCCGGCCCGCAGGTCAGCCACGGCCTGAGGTCACAACCTGAGCCAAAACGAGGAGTCGGACGTTCAGCTGACGGGGCCTTCAGGCCACGGGGTGAACCAGGCGCCTCTGAAAAGTGGCCTCCAGGGCAGCGGGAGTCGGACACACGCCCGGGGGGCGGCCCCGAAGCCGGCACCGCCGGGGGACAGGAGCCCCGGTGAGGGGACAGCCGGCGGCCGGAGTGGGACGAGAAACCAGTGTGGCGACGCCCGAGGGCGAGTCCCGAGTCCCCTGCAGCGCGGGCGCGGGGGGCGGGCAGAGGCCGAGGCCGCACACGGAGGACGCAGGCCCCGTCGCACCGGAGCAGGGCCGTGTGGACAGGGCCGTGTGTGCGCAGACGGCGCTGGCAGGACTCAGTCCTCGGTCCCCGGGCTGCCGCGTGATGACGTCATGGCGGGGGAGGGGCGGGGCTGGCTGTGCGGGTGGGGCCTGCGACTGTCCATCTCAGGGTTGTGAGTTCGAGCCCCACGCTGGGTGTAGAGATGAGTTAAAAATAAAATCTTTTTTTTTTTATTTTTTTTTATTTATTTCTAGGAGAGAGAGAGACAGCGTGAACAGGGGAGGGTTAGAGAGAGAGGGAGTCACAGACTGAAACAGGCTCCAGGCTCCGAGCTGGCAGTCAGCACAGCCCGACACGGGGCTCGAACCCACGAACCGCGAGATCATGACCTAAGCGAAAGTCGGCCGCTTAACCGACTAAGCCACCCAGGCGCCCCAAAAATAAAATCTTAAATAACAGCAAGGGGTCTGGGACCTGAGACCAGAAACCTGGAAAAAGGCAGTGAGCTCCCTGACGGCCTTGGTGATGGTATTTTGGATTTGACACCAAATGCAAAAGCAACAGAAGCAAAAGCAAGCAAGAGAAGCTGCGGTGAACGAGAAGGCTACGCACACGGGCGGGGGCCGCCGGCACCGCTGGGGACACGGGATCTGAACCCCGACTTGCTCAGTCCCGCGTCTCCACGGCTGAACCGGCCCGTCGGGCTTAAGCAGGCGGGACACACGGACAGGCGTTTCCCCAGACGACACGGGCGCAAAGGTGCGCCCGTTGCTCCCCGCAAAGGGGTGAGGCTCCCGGTCTCCGCGGGGTGTTTGGGTCTAGGAGCGGAGCGCGGCAGGGACGCCCCCGACCTGCAGTGTCTCCCGGCCAAACGCGGCTGCAGACCCCGATCCGAGCGAGTGTCGGCCGGCGACTCGGCAGACCCCGCGGTTCCAGAGGAGTCCCTGGTGCCCCGTAGTCACGTCCTCAACTGCTCGGGGCTCGAGGTCCACGGCAGCGGCCGGCGGCTGGCGCCCGAGCTCCAGGAGGCAGGGCGGGAGGGACGGGCCAGGTGGCCCCGAAGGGCGGCCAGCCAGCCTCCCGGGAGCCCCTGGGGCCGCTGCCTGCCCCGGGCGCCGAATGCCGGGACACCAGCTGCGCACACAGCCCAAGCGGGGGGACGCGCTGTCAGACGAGGGGCCGACGACCCCTCCGCACGTTGTGCTGCCCGCGAGCCGTTCCCTCTCAGGGCCACAGCGCCGCGGTCAAGGCCACGCGGGAGTGTGAAAGGCCCCTGCGCCCCGCGCTCCCCGCCGTCACCAGCTCTGCAGGGGTGCGGTGCGTGTCGCAGGCGCCCAGAAGGGGGCCGTCACCACCCGGCTTGGCGCCCACGCGGGTGGTACCGCCTACTCCCCGACACAGCCCTGGGGGAGGGGGCAGCACCAGTGTGCGGAGACCCCTCGTGGGGAGCACGCTCAGCCTCCCGGGTGCGCCCCGCTGCGGGCACGAAGCCCCTTCGCACGGAGGGCGGGCCCCACGTCCAGGCAGGGGTGAGGGGACCACACCAACGGGCCCTTCGAGTGAGTGAAGGGGCCGGAGGTGCGAAGGCCGGTGCCTCAGGCCGCGGTCTGTGGGGCCTTCGTGCCCCCCCACCCCCGCAGCCGACGCCAAAGCGCGGGTTCCGGTCAGGTATCACGGCGGCTGGCGCGAGACCTCCGGGCTCCCTACACGCTCGCGGCGGAGCAGTGAACCCGGCCGGAACGGACGCTCGTTCCCGGCGCGCCCCGCACCCCCACGCGCTCCCGGGGCAGACCCCGCCTCCGACCTGGGCTCCGCGCAGAACCGCGTCCTCCAGACCGCAGACGTGTGCAGACGGGCCCCGCGGGGCCAGGCAGATGTCCACGCGGGCTCCCGCTGCTCTGACCCCGTTCCGGACGCTCCCCCGGAGAGGCCAGTGCTGCTGGCCGCGGACACGGCCCACTTCGGAAGAAAAAAGGCCATGTGCCGTTTCTGACATTCTTCCCGAGCCCCTTAAGCAAGACCTGCAGACATTTGCTCCTAAAGCACCAGGGCCCCGGCTCAGCCCGGTCCCCGCGCGCCGACCAGGGACGCTCTGGGCACGGCCTCTGGCTGGGAGAAGCGGGCCACTCAGCTCCTCAGAGCAGGCATTTGCGGTGCTGTCCCGTCACCGAGGCCAGTGATCTGCAGACGCGTGACCAGGGTCTGAGTCTCACACTTGACTTTCAGAAGCTCCGTTTTTCATGAATGAAGATTATCCACCGCGAGCCAGGCCATCGGCCTCCGCAGACACGAAGAGGCGCGAGCAGGTCTAGGAAAACAGAAGCACAGGATCCTAAGCATGAAAACAATTCACACAACGGACTTTAAGGAACAGAGACGAGTTCTGGTTTGTAAACAAGAGAAAAGGGGAACGTTTTAGAGGAAAGTACGTATTTCATGAAGAATATAAACGAGCAATATAAACGGGAGTCTGAAAACCTCACTGGGGGGACAGGCCTACCTGGAATCGCGCGTCGAGGAGAAAGCAGCACAGGGAGGAACGCCCAGCTCTCGAGTGTGCATCCGTGTAGATCCCAGCTCCCGGGAGCAAGCGGGGACCCCGGAGCCGCTGGGGGGGGGGGGACGCCACCGGGGACTCCGCCATTTGGCTGGGTTCCCCGAGACGCAGAGGCTCAATTTCTACTCGGTGGGAAAACCGTCTGAACACACAGTGCAAATCCAATTAAACATTTAAAATTTATTAAACTTTTTGGTCAAAATAGTTGAACAAATATATACAATTCTGTTAGAACCGCTGTTTTTGCAGAGGACCGCGAGGCACAGGTATGTGGAGAGAACTCTGCTCTGGGTCTCAGAGCTGGAGCCTGGGCGCTGGCGCGCGTACAGGTAGGAGTTACTCTGAATGAAATTCTCCGCTTCTAACTGGACGAGAAGTAAAGTGGAGTCGTTACGCTGCCGCAGGGTAGCACACAGACCGCCCGGTAACAGGGCACTTGCTCTCGTGGATCGTGTCGCTAGTCACCAGGACACGCCTTTGTTCCAAGAGCAGCGCATGCGCCGTGCACCCCGCAGGAGGCCGGGGTCTGAGCCCCCATGTGGATCCCGGCAACTTCCGATCACACCGCTAGTGTCCGTCTTGGGAGATCCTGATTTCTGGCACCAAAGAGCCTACTTTTAAAATCCAGCACCAAGGTGGTGGCGGCGTCACATGGCTACTCTGTTGGCTGGAAACAACTAGGAGACCGGCATGCATGTGATTCCAGCACTTTCCAAAGGGGCCACCCCCCCGAGGGCTCCTCGCAGTCCCTGCCGCGCGCTGGGAGGCTCACTGGACACCCGCGTTGCCGGCCCGGCAGCACCCGTCGGCCCCTGGGTCCCTTCTGAGACGCTCCCCCCGCCTTACCTGCCTTGTCGCCTGGCCGATGTCTACAGAAACAAAAGAAAATCACACAAGTTTGGGGACAGGCAGGCTGAGACGTGGAGGTACTGCACACGTGCCACCATCCTGCCAGAGTTGGTCACACTGTTCCAAAGTGTAATTCCGCATAATTCATTCTATGCAGTTAAAGTAAATAAAAAGCCGATACTGGTCTTAGATTTAAAAACACTTGTCATAGTGTGTCACTTTTATTCAGTGGCCGCACCAGAGGGGGTGGCGGTAGGTACAGGTGCGCGGGTGAGGACAGCCACCGAGCCCGCTCGCTGAAACCAGTCCCCGGGGACCACGGCGGGGAGCGGCCCCAAGCGTGAGGGCAGGCGGGGTCGTGGAGACTCTCTTCTCCTGGGTGTTAACTTCCTGGTCTATGAACTGGAAAGGCCGGCTCAGACTTAAATAAAGACATTTATTGTGAGTAACGGCCTCTACTGAGCACTGTGCACCGTGCGCCGGGCGGGATCGGGCCGCCCTCCGGTCTGCAGGGGGGAGGAGCGGGGAGCGCACTGCTCCTCGCGGAGACGACGACGACGTCCCTCCCCTGGGGAAGCGTCCGGGCCCAGTCCCCGCGCCAGCCTCCCTAGTTGACCTTGTCCTGGAAGATGTACAGGTTGTTGGTGGCGGCCACGGCGATGACGTTCTCCGCTGGGTGCCAGGCCGTGTGCAGAATCTTCTTGTTGAAGTCCAGACTGTCCACACTGATCTCATCTTTCTTTCTCTTCCCGCCTGTACACACTTTCCGAGGCTTGAGGCTGGCGCGGGGCTTGCTGTTCTCCCTGGAAGCTTCCAACGTGACGTCCCTCCGTGTATTTCGATCGAACATCCTGAAGAAGTTGTTGTAGGAACCGGTCATGATGGCGCTATGCAGAACGAGAGGGCAGTGCTGGTCAGGGACGAGGCACCAACACCCGGCCCCGCGCGGGGGCCCCGCGCGGGGGCCCCGCGCCCTGGACGCCCCGTGAGGGTCACCTGCCCTCCCCCCTCCCCCACCTGAAAAGATCATTTTCAAGAGAAGAAATGAAAATAATGGTTGGCAGAAAAATCGGTATAAGTTCCCTACTGAACTTCACATACGTAATCCTGTCCGTGAAAATAAATATTACAGAACAAAAAAGGAGCAGCCACTCCTGATTACATTAGAGGTTTTTTGTTTTTGTTTTTTTTTTAAGTGAGCTCCTCGCCCAAAGTGGGGCTTGAATTCATGACCCTCAGATCAAGAGTCACGCTCCTCTAGGGGCGCCTGGGTGGCTTAGTCGGTTGAGTGTCCGACTTTCGCTTAGGTCATGATCTCGCGGTTCGTGGGTTCGAGCCCCGCGTCGGGCTCTGTGCTGACTGCCGGCTCAGAGCCTGGAGCCTGTTTCAGTCTGTGACTCCCTCTCTCTCTGACCCTCCCCTGCTCACGCTGTCTCTCTCTCTCTCTCTCCTAGAAATAAAAAAAAATAAAAAAATAAAAAAAAGAGTCACGCTCCTCTGACCGAGCCAGCCTGGCGCCCCACATTAATGTGTCTTTAGAAAGTAAAAAAAAAAAAAGACGACACAGCCACCTGTCCCACGAATAACAGTGTATTTTCAAGTCTCGAACATTTGCACTTTGTCCAATGTCCCTCCGCACACCTGATAAAGAATATTTTTTAATTCATTTTAATGTCACAAAGTTCTTTCACGGGAAGCAACAGGTGTACAAAGGGGAAAGGTCTTAGACATCAGAGCGAATCTCAGACGCTGCAGCGCTGCCCATGTTATTTCTCCAGGATCAATTCTTACGGCTTCCACGGCCTCTGAGATCAAATATGTTTCTGCAGTACTGGTAGAAACTTCTGTTTTTTGTTTTTTTTTTTTAACAAAACATTTAACATTTTTTAAAACAAGAAATGGCTGACAAGTGCTGCCAGGATTTAGCCCGTGGCTTTAGAACGAGCCCTGCTCCAGATGATGGTGCTCAGACCTGCCCCTGCGGACCCTGCAGACCCAGCCTGGTCCCCGTGGCTCCCCGCGGTCTCCGGGCTCAGGCACGGCAAGCCGCAGACCCCGATCCACGCAGATCCCTCAGCGTCAGACTAACCTCACCTAGAACTCACCCGGAAAAGACGACGGTCAGGACCCTCGCGCCATCCTTGCTCAGCCTGTGTGGTCTCGGCCCAGGAGCGTGTGCCGCTCGGGAGAGAACCAGCGCCGCCCAGCCCAGGGCGCTGCCTGGTCAGCCTCGTGTGCAAGACCATGTCCAAGGGAGGCTGGGCGGGAAGCGTGCCGACGCGGACCTTCTGTCCACGCTACTCACAGTCAAGTGCATGTGCCACGATTCCCTGGAACAGGGACCGGGAAGAGATCTTCAGGAGGACGCGGCTTTATTCTCGACATGGACTAGCACTGGCGTGCGGCAGAAATGAAAGCAGACCAGCTGTGACTCAGATTCAGTATTTCTTCTCAATTTCTGGCCCACAGGCCTGCAGGGGAGGTGGGTGTGCCCACCCCCCAGACCACGTAAGAGCACCTGGACAGGTGTCCTCCACTTCCCCAGGTGGCCAAGTGAACTCGGGAGTAAATGGCTGTGTCCATTTTTGCCGGACAACCTGAGCACAGCCAAGCAGGGTCACGTGACAGCATGGTCACGGGCGCGGGACTATCCACGTACCCATAACCCACTGCTCACACGGTTAGACCCCACTGTGTACCTGTCTAGACAGACGGCTCTCCCACCTGGTGCCCCTGCTGGGAACCGTTACAGAAGAGAAGTGTCATTCCCATACACGTTTCCGTTCAGAGTAGTGACATATTCCTAAAACAGCACCTTCTCGCGTGTTCTACAGAACACGGAAACCATCCAGACTCTTCCACAATGTGCTTTCTTTGCTCACTCTCCTATGACATCACCTATATGACGTGCGTGGTTTTACTTCACTGATTTTCCCTCGTTTTCAGTAGTGTACATTACGGACAGACGAGTTTCCCGTGGCGGCTCCTTCAGGGGTTTGCCAGCTCTGCTTTCTGTACATGCACGAGGTTCCTGACCTATGTGGGCCACTGCCCACCAAAAAAGGAGGGCCATGGTGAAGGCCACCGGCCTTCGACCCCAGCCCACCGTAAAGGCACAGAGAGGGCGTCCTTGTCCCTCTGACCTGGCGACTACCAAGAGCGAGCGTCTCAGCTTCCCGGTCCTGCTACTTCCCACTTGTGAGCGGCCACGTCCTGCCACGGGTTCTGGGTCCTCAGGGTCGTATCTGCTTTTGTGGGTTTTCACGGTCGCATTTTGGTACAAAACAAGCGTTAACGTGGGTGAAGTTCCTCACATTTCCTTCACCGTCTGGGGTGGGGCTGTAGAAGCAGCCCCGCCGGTCTCCTCCGTGTTGGCGCCGCGCTCCCACGGCTCCGGCCCCGTCTCGGAATTCTGCCCAGCTCGGGTCCTAGGTGGCTGAGGGACAGCTGTGACCTGTCCCCCCAACACAGACAAGCAGCTCCACCAGCCGAGTTCAGGGTCGATGTGCCTCGGCAATGCTGCAGGGCCGTGTGCCTCCCGAGCTCTCAGAGCCGCCGTCTGGGGTCACGTCCTTTCCTGGAAGTACACCCCCGAGATCCGTCCCGGGAGCTTCCGGTCAGGGCGAGCCGCTCCCCGTCTGAATGCGCCTCACCACACACGTGCTCTGAGTGATCATTTATCTCTCCGGGCACTAACAGTGGTCACAAGCAAGGACTTTCCTGTCACACCATCCTGGGTACCTGCTGTGCTGGAAGGCGGCTCTCAGCCTGACTGTTGGTCCTCAAGGTCGTACGTCTTTCCGCCCCCGTGGCTACTCCTAGCATCCCTTTGCCGGTGGTGCCCCGGGCCCGCACGGCACAGACGTGGATCCGCGCTTCCTGAGTGCGGGCCTCGGTCTTCTGTCCGCTCCAGGCCGGCACCCCTCCCCGTTCTCGCCTCCTGGGCACGCCACCCGGCCGCGTTCCGCTGCGTGCCCCTCCCCCGGCCTCCATGCCCCTGCCCTCCCGCGAACTCAACCCCTGCAGCCCCGCACTGCACCCCGGAAGACGGCTTCCCCTGCGCTTACTGCCCGGGGTCTCCCGCTGAACCCACATTTTCAACCACTGCGTACTTCGTTTCTAGGAGTTCTGTTTGCTTCATTTATAATTCTCTCAGGTAATTTCCGGTGGTCTCGCTCATGGTTCCTGGCTTGGGTGGGGGTCCCTTCCAGCGCTCTCTCACGCTCCGCAGCTTAGGTTCTAGTATCTGAATCCTCAGACAGTCAGTGTTGCTGCTGTTTCTGACCTGTTCCCAGTGGCTTTCCTTCACGCGCTTGGTGGTGTTTACCCACACGTGCATCTAGGGGAGATGGCGCCCTGGGTGTACTGGGAGAGGCAACCGCCGTGGGTGCTGGGCGCCCCTGCATGTCCTCTTGAGTGCGCCCTCCCGGGGCCCCGTGTGTGGGCCCCGCAGTGTCCACGGGCAGGCCTGTCAGTCACGCTGTTCGGGACGCCAACCCCACTGCTTGTGCGGCCCGGGCCCATGTCACTCCTGTGGGGTGCGGGGGCCGTGGCAGATGGGTGCCCGCATGAAGCTCACGCTGCTCTGCGGGGCCAGGGGTCTGGAGCTGGGTCTCTGCCCCAGGGAACTCGTGACTCCAACAGTACCCACAAAACACTGTAAACGGGAAGAGCCCAGGCCCGGAAAGCTCTGTCCTGCTGCCCAGAGCCCGGCCTGCCTTGTGGTGCCCAGGTCCACAGTCAGCCTTTCCAGATCATGCAGCAGGACACAGACGCCACAGCTGGGGTGGGGGGCTCATGGTTACCACTCTTGGGGGGGCTTTCACGCTTCCTCCCACCCCTCAAGGTCTCAGACTAATCTCCCTGGGGACTGTGAATGTAGCTGGATGATGCCTTTCCCAGAACCCTGGAGGGTCTCACCATCACTGTGCCCCGTGCGTGGGGACCTCAGCGGGGAAGACTTCGCCGGCAGGGCCCTGGGCCCCGTGCCGTGGGCCAGTGCGATACCCCACGGTTCCCGCGCCCTTCTACTTGTAGCCCGCCTTCGTTCTGGCCGCGGCACAGCTTCCCTCCCCCCAAAGGGACTGTCCCCTTTCAGCACCGCAAATGCAGCGTGTTGTGTGACAGTGAAGACGTGAGCCTCGGCACCACAGACATCAAACGTCCTCTTAACAGAACGGGCGCCAAATTCATTCCTGAGGCACCAGGACGTCCACACTGCAAAGGCCACCAGGGCATGCCACCCGTGCACAGCCCCTGCGAACTGGCCCCAGGAAAGGCCAGTCTACCCGCTCACTGGCAAACCTCTGCCCCACCTCCTTTCACGCTCATCTCGGAATACAATCCACCATAAATTACCTTAAAAGCATTTAAAAAACAACCACACAAAACCGTGGCACGGCATGTGCTGTCTGCATCCAGGAAGGGCACGAGCGGGGGAGAGCTTGCTCCTGAGCCCCTCTGCCCCCACCTGTGGGGGGCGCCCGGGGGGCTCAGTCCGTTAAGTGGCTGACTCTTGCTTTCAGCTCAGGTCATAAACCCAGGGTTCACTGGACTGAGTCCCGAGTTGGGTTCCATGCTGAGAGTGCAGAGGCTGCTTGGGGTTCTCTCTCTCTCTCTCTCTCTCTCTCTCTCTCTCTGTCTCTGCCCCCTTCTCTTTCCAAACCAAACATTAAAAAAATAAAAAATAAAGTGTCGTTAACCTGTCAAACAGCCTTCAAAGCGCGGCCAGCGACCAACCCCGGCCAGCCCGTCGCCAGCCCCCTCCCTCCCCGAAGCCCCCCGCCCCCCGCGCGGGCCCGCCCAGGGCCTCACCTGTCTGAGCCGCCCCAGCAGCACTCGAACTTGTCGAAGATGCAGTCGTTCTCGTACAGAGAGCACAGCTTGCTGCGCAGGTACTCGTGCACCTTAACAAAACCACAGGGAGGTCAGACAGCGCCGCGCGCAGACCGGCACCGACCCTGCGCGGCGGCCTCACCTGGTGCGTCTCCACGGGCCGGCTCTCCATGTTGAGGTCCCACACCTTCACCGATAGGTAGTCTCGGGTCATCATGTACCGGCCGCTGTGGCTGAATTTCACGTCCGAGATGGAGGAGATGATTTCCGAGAAGAAGGACCTACTGCTGGGATCTTCAGGTTCTTCAAAAACTGGAAAACACAACACGTTCAGCTTCTGCTCAAAAGCCGGAGGACGAAGCACGCACCAGACCCCAGGCTCTCCTCGGGGGGCGCGGCCCGCACACCGCTCAGGCTCTGGACCTTTCTGGTCTGTGAGTTCTCTGGCTTTCGGAGACTTAGAGGAGACGGCCCCAAGGCCAGTCTCGGCCGGGGAACGGCGTGAGAACCCCTGCCCAGACCCTGAGGCAGCGCCCGTGGCTGAGGCCCTGGGCTGCGGCCTGGAAAGTCCCCCTAAGACATTCCGGGGTGGGCTGTGGTCTAGAACCCCTGTGCTAACCACAGGCTGCGACCACACAGACACCGGGCGCCCGAGCAGCCCCGTCCTGTCCATGTCACAGGAAGCCAGGCGGCACTGCCTGGGAACACCGAGTCCAGACTGTAACCTCCAGAGCCCCACCCACCAAACCCCGTCAGGAAAAGGGGTCAGTCCCTGCTGTCTGGGAGCCAAGCTCCACATAACAAAACCCAATTACTTTCAGAGAGATTCCAGATGCTTCCTTGGCAGATGCTCCTTTCTCCTACAGGATTTGGGCTTTTAGCAGAAACTCAACAGCCCCTACAGAGGCCGCAACCCCCTAGGGCCGCCACGCCCTCAGCTTAGGAAGCTTCAAGCAAGGATCTTTCTCTGCACTTCGTTTTGAACTGCTTTAGCCTTTTTTTTTTTTTTTTAATGTGGGAACCGGTATATTTCTTGGCTCTGCATATGAAGTTAATTTTAAGCACGCCAGCGGCAGTGCCAGGATTTACTCAAATAAGTTACTGACAAGAACTACTCCTGGCATCTTTGTTAAAATGGTCTCTAAGAATATCACGGTGAGGTCACCTGGCTGGCTCAGTCGGTACAGGGAGTGGCTCTAGATCTTGGGGTTCTGAGTTCAAGTCTCACTTTGGGTCTAGAGATCACTTAAAAAATAAACCAAAAAAAGAAAAAAAGACTATTAATCTTGAGAGAGACAGGTCAACGTCACACGCTAGCTCTTTGTTGCAGGACTCCTGTACAGAGAACAGAATTCTTGAAAATTTGCTTTAGCTTCAGAAAACCGAGAATAAGGCAGAGAGGTTCCTGGGAGCCGGTTGGCAAGTGCGCGTGACAGGAGGCGCCCAGTGTGGCCGCGCTCCCCCAGAGGAGACGAGAGTGTGTCCCAGGACATGGGAGTCGAGGCGTCCTCGAGGACTCAGGGGACACGCTGGAGAAGCTCGCTGTGCGGTCCGGTCCCCACCACGGCACGCAGGGCAGGTCACACACGCGCTTCTGCTTCTCTGTAAAGTTGGGCCTGTTCTTTACGGCCAAAAAATAAAAACAAAACTTTCCTCACCTAGAAAAAACTTCAAGGCCCTGTGGATGAAGGTGCTAGAGCATCCCCAGGGGGGAGGAGGGTTCCAGTGCAGCAAAGCTCACTGTGTGCAGAGCCCACCCCGACAGCCAGGGGCGCTCACGGGTGACACGCGCTCTGGCTGCCTCAGCCGAGGCCCTGACGCACAGAGGCGGAGGCAACAGATGGTTCTCGGCTGGACCCGGCCAGGGAGCCCTGGATGAAGCCCTGAGACTGTCGTGGGAGCAGCACCACGGGCCACCCCACAGGAAGTGCTCGGAGCGTGCCCTCAGCGACCCCCTGGCGCCAGCAACGGCCTCGCAAAGAGCCACCCCAGGAGCAGAAGCTGCTGCTGCGCGTGCGCGGGACTAAGGAGCACAGAGACACTGAGCGGAGGTGGTCTTGTGCCTGGAGAACAGAAGGGTTTAAACGAGGCGACCTGAACCCCCCAGGCACTTACACTTCGAGTGTCTGTCACACAGCGCTGAGGAGCGCATGTCGCACAGTCTGACGGTCCCTTTGCTGCTGCTTTAGACGAGCACGTTGCACTGGTGCGGGTGGAACTCGGCCGCAGTGATCACCTCCGTCAGCTCCTCCATGTTCACAGGCTTGATGTCCACAATGTCTGAGGTGCATGGTTAAGGCAGCGAGCACGGCGGCGTGGAGTCCGCCTCCCAGCAAACGGCGGGCGGGAAAACCCGGGGCGAGGGGAAGAGCACACAGGTCACGGCGGTGACCATACAGACTGCGTGCGCAGGAGCACGCCAGGAAGAGGACCCGTGTCCACACCCGGGCACCGCTCCGGCCACGGCGACGTGGCTCAGAGGCCTGGGCCCTTGTGCACACAAGGCTGCCTGCATCCCACTGCTGCGCTGACGTCCCAGGAGAAGCCGCTCACGGCAAGACCACAAGAGCTTCGTGGTGTGAGGAACACCCGCGCAAAAATCCCACACTTCCACCCACGTGCCCCGCACGCCACCTGCCAGGTTCTGAAAGACTCTCCTTTCCTAAGACTCTCCATCTGCCATCGAGAGCTCGTTCTTAGGAGTGAGGACAGGGTAGCTTGCCAAGTATGGAAATCACTGAACTGAAAATACAAGGAAACAGCAGACTCTGGCTATGGGCCGCGACAGAACGGGGGCCACATGAGCCTCCCACTGGAGGAAGCAAGCTGACAACTAGGTGACACCACACAGTAGGGCTTTTATGTAAGCAAGTACATAAAAGTGTAGGTGTTTCATAATCTAGGTCACAAGGAAGGGTACTTAAAACATGATCGTGAGACAAAATTTTATAAAGGCAATGAAAAACGTGAGTGCGCATACATATCGCTTTGGAATTAAGAGCTCTCCCAGATCGTGAAGCAAAAACACGAGCTTCAACAGGAGAAAAATAAGGGACGCCAAAAAAATTCACAGTAACAGACAGTAAAATAACAGAAGGTACTTTTAACTCAACTATAATCGAAGAAATTAAAAATGGGCTTATTTTGGTTTCACTAAAGTGAAGTTATTTTTCAGAAGATCCAATACCTGCTGAAAGCAGGCGCACTGAGGCAGCAGGTGCGCCTGGCTCAAGGCCTGCACGCTGGCGTGGGTGCTGGGGCTCGAGGCGCACCCAGAGCGCGGCACGGAGCCGCACCATCCACGGCCCCAAACCCTGCAGTCACACACCAGGAAGCTCAGCGACAAGGAAAGATGGTCAGAACGCAGTGGAAAAAGTGAGGCTGATGGCAGAGGCCGACTGCTGTGCACGCAGCTCCACACTCACAGGCTCTTGGGTTTTAGGGAACCCCACGTGGCCCCCGAGGAGTGCAGGGTTAGAGGGAGAGAGAACGGGATGGCCTGAGTGGCCCAGTGTTAATTAAAGTCGTGGAGCGGATCTCAGGCCCCCTGACACTCCTGAGTGCTTGAACTTCATTACCACACAGAGGATGAGCCCAGCGGTTCTCACACACATGTCCTTGCACAGACAGAAAGAGGCTGGAAAGGTGTGCACAACTACCTACGATGGTCGTCTGGAGCACAGGATGAAGGGGGAAGACCTTCCTCTGTGTTAGTTACATTTTGTTCCAAACAGTCACGTACTCACAGGAGAAAGAAGGATTTAAAACAGAGCAATTTAAGGAGAATAAAGAGAAAGCAGGGGCCATGGGCATGAACCTCCTAAACCAGCAGGTTTCACAAGGTCACGGGAAGAAGACACAGAAGACCTGGTGGCCACAGCGGCCCCTTCGCAGCTAGGCCACACGCTCTTCGTAAACTAAGTCATCACGGTAAGTAAATGATCGAATCAAGTAAAAGGACAACGGATAATAAGTGTGAAATGCTGGAATGTGAAAGGCACACGCACTTGCTTCCGGGGACTGTCCTGAGTGAAAGAGGCACACGCAGCCAGGAGAGCCCACGGACGCCCACCCTGCTCTGGCCAGCCTGACGTCACTCCACAACGTGGGGAACCCTGACTGGGGCCCCCTGATGGGCACACAAGACAGAACTCTCATTTCCGGAGAAATCGGGAACTTGCCTCGCCAGTAACACGCAGACCTTCCCCTTAGTAACTGCACATTCTTTTGAATCCTCCTTAATCAGAAGACCAAATTCGTACGTGGCCACTCCCTGGGTTGGGTGAGTGACCTTCACTCTAACCACGGCCGGTGTTGCCCAGTCTGCTTCCTGGTCCCTGATTTGGGGGGAGGGCGGGGAAGAACCGAACCCCCAGCACACGCTATTTAAAGCCGCCTCCCACTAACTCGGGGGGTAGCAGACCTGGTCGTTCTTGTGACATAGAGAACCTTCCCCAAAGGTAGAAAGTAGCTTCCGTTTTTGGGACCCTCTAAATCCCAGGGAACCCCAGCTCGGGCTACCGTGCAGCAAGCACTCAGGAGGGGACTGAGGAGTGGGAGGAGGCACATGGAGCGCCAGGTGTGGGAAGAACAAACGCGTGAGAAACGCCGAGCCCGCCACCCGATGAAGGATACTGAAGCTCCTATCTGTGATCTCTAAATGCCATAGATTAATTCTCAGGTCATCTGCAGAAAGATACGTTTCATGATCACTATTTACTGAAATGGAATTTATATGGTATGTATGAGCATTCGCAAAAATTCGTCGTGGACTTGCTTCCACCATAAGATCCATGGGCTTTAATATTGGAACCTAAAAATGGAAGGAAAGAAGAATTCAAAACAAAGATCACTGCAGCATAAAATCACAATTAAAAAACAATAGAAAACAAAAAGGAACAAATCCAAGTTCACAGTGAGCTATCGGTTTTGAACAGACAATAATATCCCAATTAAGCAATTAGCAGAGCTGTGAAAACGGGCTACAAGCGGGGCCTGTCCCTTCCTGCGGCCGTCATCAGGGCTGGTTATGTCTGTCCAAGGGCAGACTGAACTGGCCCCTAGAACAGCGCCCCCAGGCACGAACGCCTCCCGCTGAGGCTTCTCTTCCCTGTGCGTCACCACAGCCACCAGGGCTGTAAAGTGTCCATGGGAGACTTTGTCAAGAACCCCCATTCTTTTCTCTCTCTTTGCAGCTATTGCCTTTGAAAGGGACAGTCAGGCGCCATGCCTCTTTCACTACGCAGGTGGTGTGCTCCGTGCACACGCCCCACGCCTAGGAGGGGCACAGAGACGGAGAGCGCACGGGGGGCCCTGGGGAGCTATGGGTGCCATGCTGGATGGGCTGCTGGCCAGGCGGGCCTTGTGGCCCGGGAGCCCTGGGAGCCGTCCGCTTACATGGTAGAGGCAGTTTTTGGTGCACGGATTATGCTTCAACAAGAAATTTTTTACAAAGGGGCACAAAACCCCCATCTCTGTGCTGGGCGCTGTGGCCAGGGGACAGGACATCTCTGCTGGTGTGGAGACAGTGGAGTCAGCCAGGCAAAGGGCAAGGGGCGAGGGGCGAGGCCAGCCCAAACACACAGATGCCCACGTGAGAGGCAAGGGTGCCATTGTGGGTCATCGTGTCCACACGTGAGAAAAAGTAAAAAGTCCCAATGTCACTGACATTTAATGGGAAAGAAGGCAGAAGCTTTAAAATCAAAATAAAAAAAAAATGAACAGTAACTCTGCTGTTCTTCTAGTTAAAGGCCATAGGGAGCACCTCGAAGGGCTGGCCCAGATCTCAGTTCGTCCTCTCTGACCCTGAAGTCTGCAGAACTGAGCCCGGGGAAACACGCATCCACACCGCCTGCTGCACCTGTGGGCGGACGGGTGCCGACCACGCACTGGCTTCTCCGTGTGGGACACAGGTTGTGTGGCCACAGTCCTCAACCGATCTCTCAGGTGATCACAACACGTGGCAACTCTAATGCCAGGCCAGAAAGCTGCCTCCTCCTCATCAAATCCTTTTTTTGGTGCTAAAATAATTTAAGAGGGGACAAAATTTAAAAAGAGCAATATTTGGGGTGCTGCGGTGGCTCAGTTGGTTAAGCATCTGACTTCAGCTCAGGTCACGATCTCAGAGTTCATGAGTTTGAGTCCTGCGTCGGGCTCTGTGCTGACAGCTCAGAGCCTGGAGCTGCTTCGGATTCTGTGTCTACCCCTTTCTGCCCCTCCCCCACTCATGCTCTGTCTCTATCAAAAATGAATAAACTTAAAAGAAAAAAAGCAAAATTTGACTCTTGTTCAGCTAAGTTTGGACAAATAATCCATTTTTAGCTTTTGGAGAGGCAATAAAGAAATCAAACGAGGGCCTAAACTCACAAAGGCCAGTCTATTTATAGCCTGGGATCTTTTAAACCCCATGTGATTAATAAAAGCAGTTTCTGACGAAATTACACTGTGGCCACCAATTAGACCAATTTTATTTAGGCTGAACGTATAAAAGAGCCTGTGAATAAAACTGACACTGGGCCAAACAGGACAGCGGTTGTTACCGCAGAGGCAGAGGCGAGGGAGCGTGGTGTGCTGAAGGGGCCTGCTCGGGAGGAAGGGGGCTCAGGCGCGGGGAGGGCGGGCGTGCCCGGCGGGGGGCAGAGCAGGACGCCGGGACCTTCTCCTTTCTACCACACGTAAAGGAGTTTCACGTGTTGGCAGCTGTGACACGAGCGCTACTGTCACCCAGAGCGGTTTCTCACCGCCGCACGCCGCAGGGATGTGACAGGGGTAGCCCGGGGTGCAGACATCACCAGTGTTTGCATCAAAACATCTTGTTCAGATTAGTTTTATAAACTCGACCTGAATACATTACATTGCTTCTCAGAGACCCCCCCCCCCCCCCCCCCCCCCCCCCCCCCGCGACAGGATCCAAGGGCCCGTGACGGTGCCGAGCCGTCCCGCTCTTCTCCTTGGCGGGGCCGTGGCCATGTGCCAGGTGACTGCCGTCCCGGCATGCCGGGTGCCCCGCCTCGCTGCAGCGGGGTGCGGTGCAATGAAAGGCCTCGCAGTCTGGGCTCCTGGCCCATAGCGCCTTACTCCTAACCCAGAATGTGTCCGCTAACTAGGTCTTTACTTGATACACAATATTCAACAAAGTTTTTAAACCTCGTTAATAAAGAAACCAGCCGGCCAACAATTTTCACAAGCACCGGGCCGCGGTTTCAGGGCTTGCCTCGCACCGATGCCGGCGTCCCCGCACCCCACCTCCTTTCCTACCTCCCGGCTCACTTTCCACACCCACCGGGAGTGCACCACTGAGCCCATTACAAGATACTGAGACCTTACTCAATTAGTTGTACTCAATGTCACAGCTGTTAAAAGGTTAAAAAAAAAAAAAATCTAGGTATCAGAAGTGATGGTCATTTCATATGGGACGGGGCCCAGGGACAGCAAAAAGGAAGGGGAGAATTTTGTAAATTTAACAATCAGGAAAAGCAGTGATGCTCTGGAGACCTGAGAACAGGCCCCAGCTAACTCGGGGCACTCCATGAGAGCCTCGGCGGAGCGTCTGCAGTCCGCGCGGCTCCATCCAGGGCAACGTTCCAAATCCCACTGGACGTCACCACAACCAACGCGCTACTCAGAACCTTTGCAGTGAAAGGGAGTCGGAATACTCAGATCTGTTGTGGACTTGAAGATCTGAGTCTTTTCTGTGGACTTAGATCTGAGTCTTTTCTTTGGCATCACCATGTTTTCTAAAGATGCCGTGTGACTTCCCGCTTCTGTGAGATACGAGGAAGCGCGACCTGGACACATACAAACAGTGGTGACTGTGATCGCAGACAGCCTCCCTGAGCTGGAGAAAGCAGACCCCGCAGTGGCCCTACTCAGCGGTCTTCTCTACACAGACTTACGCACTGTCCCCGATTAACTAGGAAGGGAATGGAGTAGTGTGAGGAAACGGAGCGTGTACCCTCAGTGCTGTAATTCGAAACGGGTCCCGAAGCCGTCCATCTTCATCTTTCAAGTTATAACCTTCTGCTCTTTTGTCCCGCTCGCTTATTTTCCATAATTTAATAGTTTTATCTGCAAATAAAAACCTTAGTCTCCGTATTAAAAGAAAAACCATAGCATGTGCCACTGTTAGTTGAGTATTACATCAGAAAGCTGTGTGGTTCTCTGTGGATTTATAGGCTTATGAGCCACTGAACCGTAGTTTCTGGTTATGGAGAAACCTGGACCTTCTGTCCGCACATAAGAAAAGACGTGGGTGCGTGTGTGCACTCACCTCTGTGCTCTCAGCCCGCCACCTGCTGCCTGGCTAATCATTTACCCTCCCCAAAGTTTAAAGCAGAAACACTTTCTAGAGTTGGTTAAAGTAAAAAGGAACCTATACCCAGAAAATTAAAAATAAATGCTACATCAAATAACCACTTAAGAAAAAGCTCTTACCATTTGTAGAGAGGAGAAAATGAGCAGCATTCTGTTGTGGTAACCACCTAATTTTATTTATTTTTTCCTCAATTTCTAGACTTTTCAAATAGTCAAACTCTGGTTCATGACTTTGAAAGGTACTGTAAACATTATATTCTCCCCTAGAGTGAGGGCGGCTTTTATTCTGCAAGGAAACAGGAGGCTGTTTTAATGAACAAAGCACAGTGCAAAGAAAAACTCAGTACTGAGTATAAAACGACCAGACACATTTTTAAAAAGTTAAACAAAATCTCAGGTCAGAACTTCTCAAACAGATGACACTCCAAATTAATGTACTGGGAAGAACGAGTGACAGACTTCTGCCTGCATCCCAGGCACGCTCCCCAGAGCAGGTCTGCAGAACAGGCCTGTGTGTGCGTGTGAGCCAGGGTTCTGGAAACACGAGCGGGCCCCGTCGCGCGTGCGCTTCTGGAGACAGGCTGAGCGCTCACGGCCGGAGGGGGGAGAGCGCGCCCACCGGGCCCTGGGGCGCCTGGCCCAGCCGCACACGCGCCCACCGGGAGGAGGCCCGCGGAATGGAGCTTATGCAGTGACCACCAGCAGGGAGCGCTGGTTATGTGGATTTTTATCGTACGTCAAACAATTCCACATGTTGCAGTAAAAGTGGAAACACACGCTCGGGAAGATACAGACCGTCCTCAAAATCTTAACCAACTCCAGGAAGGCAGAGGGAGAGGAGGGTAAGATTCGGAGATAAAGCTGAAAGCCAACACGGGGAGGACACACGGCAGCCTCATGTACCTGCCGAGGGCTTGATTTTCTTTTAGGGAAGAGTAAAACCTGGGTGGCGGGTTCATAATATATTTATATTAATATCTGAAATCTTCTGTAGGTCTCAAATGACATTTTCTATAAAGTAATAAGAATATTACATAATTAATATAATTGTTTTAATTTTTTTTTAACTTTTAAATTTTAATTCCTGCCACATGATCAGCATCTGAAGTCTTACTAACACTTTTCAGGACGTGTGTCCGAGAAACTGAATGAAACAGAGGAACCTTTACGTCCAGACTCTTTCTGTTCCTGAGTTACGGTCCCGCGGGACGAGGAACCAGCCCCAGAGCTCCCTGGATCCCTCCGCTGCCGCGCGCACCCGGAAGCCGCCCGCGGGCCCCGGGACGAGGACATGGCCTCCACGCGTGTGCTGTGCGAGGCCGGCTACTGCTGCATAGCCCGCCTTCAGGCCTCTACCCTCCACCAGAAGGCAGAATTTGCCAGCAAATGCTTCCAGCTTGCCAATGAAATGGAACTATCTAAAATGAAAAATCTGCTGAGTCATGAGTCCCAGGGCCCAGGACGGTGACCCACCTGGAGAAACTGCAAACCTGAACAGACCGACGAGGCGCCCGCATGGATGCGCTGCCCTCCTTCACGGGCCACCGAGTGCGAGGGCCGGATGGATGCTCCTGACCCACGGCCCGTCTTCCCGCTGTAACTGCCCGAGCTGCACCCCCCCACCCCCCAAACCCCTGCCCGCAGGCTGAGACCCCGCGGCGGCCCCCGAGGGCCTCCGGGCAGTGAGCGATCTCGGCGCCCTGTCCAGGGAGAGGCAAGAACAGAGACGGTGAGAGCAAGGCCACCAGCCCGAGCTGCAGGGACGGTGACCCCAGGCAGGACAAGAAGGTGGCTGCAAGCACATCTTGTCGTCAGACGTGCTGAGTCGGCTGCAAGGCTGCGCTCTGAGGACGAGGGCGGCACAGCCACGTCCCTAAACCCTGCTCCCCGGAGATGGACACACCAGGCTTCCCGAAACAGGGCTCTGCCGCTGAGAGGGAACAAAGCCAGCAAGGTCGACACTGCTGGCCACGCCCCCCCGCTCAGGTCTCACGCGCACCCCTGCACTTCCCGAGGGCCCCCTAGCACCCTGATTCCTCAACCTGACACCCACGCCCCCTCCCCAGAGAGCTAGGGCCCTGCTGTGTCCTCACACCCGCCCCAGGCTCTGCAGAAAGGGCCGCGCCCTCTGACTGCACTGGGAGCCCCACGCCCTCAGTGCGGGGCGTGTATGCAACCACGACAGGATTTCAAAGGCAGGTGGAAGAGGAAGGCTCTTGTCTTGTTAACCAAAATGCCGGGAAAAGGATGGGGAAAAACAGCTGCCCAGGAGTTTGGAAGTCACAGCTGGTTGGGTTTATCAAATTTGAACATCTTAGACTACGTGTTGCTGTACAAATCTGTTGCTTCACTTTATTAATAATGATTTAATCCATCTTAACTAAACTCTTTATACTATAGGTTCTCAAAATTGTTATCGACATATTTTGTAACAAGACACTTGAATTTTACCACAATCTATCTCACATCTAAAGTGAGGTAGTTTTTAAATTTCAATGATATGCACAAAAATGAGACAAGTTTTCTATAAGGATATCATTAAAATGGCAAACTTTAGGCACTGAAAGTGAATTCTTAAATTTAGGACAGCTGTGGCTCAGCCATCTGTTAAAAATAATCCTTCTGCTAAAAGTCATAAACACCACTAACCACTTTTACTTCTGCTGAAAAGGTCAGATACACAGTTCTATTTAAGGAGCACCACGTAATAATCTACCTCTGGGAAAAGAATGCAGAACTATGAATTTGTCAAATCATCTATGAAGATTTTCAAAGACTAATGACAATATATATTATTCACAAGAGTTCTCACCATTTCAAATCAGAAAAAATAAGATCAAAACAATTTTAAGGGGCACCTGGGTGGCTCAGTTGGTTAAGCGTCCAACTTCGGCTCAGGTCATGATCTGGCTGTGTGTGGGCTTGGGCCCCACATCAGGCTCTGTGCTGACCACACAGAGCCTGTTGGGATCTTCCTCTCTCTCCCTCTCTCTCTCAAAATAAATAAAATAAAAACATTACAGTTTTTTTTTTAATTAGGGCACCTGGGTGGTTCAGTTGGGTAAGCATCCTACTTTGGCTCAGGGCATGATCTCAAGGTTCGTGAGTTCGAGCCCCACGTTGGGCTCTGTGTGGAAAGCTTGGAGCCTGGAGTGGATTCTGTGTCTCCCTCTCTCTGCCCCTCCCATGCTCATAATTTGTCTGTCTCAAAAATAAACATTAAAAAACAATTTTTAGGGGCACCTGGGTGGCTCAGTTGGTTGAGCATCTTGACTTCAGCTCAGGTCATGATCTCATGGTTTGTGAGTTTGAGCCCCGTGTTGGGCTCTGTGCTGACAGCTCAAAGCCTGGAGCCTGGATTCTGTGTGTGTGTGTGTCTCTCTCTCACAAATAAACAAACGTTAAAAAAAAATTAAAAGTTTGTTTTTAAATCTATATAGACATATGAAAATGAGAGCTGCAACATGTATATTTCAATGAGATGCTGGCACCCATGCATCTCCCCTCACTCACCAAAGCAATCCTCCACTCCGAACGGGGTGCCTGGGGCCCCCCTCCCACAGACGCTCCTACGCCCCCTCTCTCTGGTGGCAGGGCCGGCATTCGCTGCCGCACAGATCTACTGCAGGGGCACCAAGGCCCACTAGCTGCCACACCAAAGTCCTGCCACAAAAATGTAGAGACTAGAATCTACAGATGAGGAAGTACCTGCTCACTGACCTGCCTGGACACAGACAAGGGCCTGTGTGTGACTCTGTCAGGAAAGAAGACAGATGGCTTTCCACAAACCCAAGCCTGGCTTGCCCGTGGTTCTCTCAGGAATATGTCCACGACAGATGAGCAGGGCACCAGGCCACCTTGCTTCCTTCATCAGGACCCCTCCTGAACTCTGATGAGGAGCCCCAGAAATAAAAGGGGGCAGCAAGGCTTGGTTCTATGTCTCATTTTATGCATAACTGAAAAAGATGGGCTTCGGTGCCCTTCCCCCCCAAAAGGGGGAGTGACCTAAAACTGCAGTGCTTGTGATTACAATTCACTGTGGGGTCCTCCAGGCCCCACTGAGGTCTCCTTCCTCCCAGCACTGACAGTGGGGCCCTCAGGGGGATGGACGACATACTCTGCTCCCCTCTGACCGAGGAGGGAGACAGAATTCGCGGCCCCCCACACAGAATCCTCCCCGCAGCTAGTGCCACGGGAGCTGTTGGGAGCAGACAGGACGGCTGGGAGCTGCCACCTTCACTGGCTTGTGGACTGATTTTCACTGATAGTCACTTGAATTAATTACAGGATGAAAGCAAATGAATGCGGAGCCCCACCACCCGATCCTCCATCTGGTCCTCACGACAGCCTGTGGACAGAGCAAGGGCTCTCCTCCCATGAAGATGAGGGCACAGGGGCCTTAACTGGAGCTCACAGAGTGGACGTCAGGGAGCTGAAGTACAGATCTCACTCGGCCCTGAGATAAGAAGATTCTATACGGTTAATGGGACGTATCCGAATCTAAGTGAAATCAGAGACTGAGAAAGCGCCACGCTTCTTTCCTTCCTTCCGAGTGACACCAGAAACGCTGCATTTCATTTGGCTTGTGGACTGTCAACCACTGACCTCTTGTTCCCGCTGAAAAATAACGACTCTGCCGCCCTTGTCTCCCGTCGCAAGAAGATCTCCAGAGTAATTAAATTCAACAGTTGAGATGATGTCAGCTGTCAATAAAACACAGAAGCAATTTATCAGATTATGATTTTGAAAGGAGACATAATTATAAAAATCTATTTTAAAAGGTTCAAATGAAAAATCAACATATATAAAACTTCCTCCCTATTGGATAAAGCAAACTTTTCATGGGAAACCTGTAATTACCAAGCAGCCAATTCTGGTTCCAGTGCCCAGAGCCCAAGGGCGCACATGGGCTCATGGGGTTTGCTCAATGGACTGAGCGCCTGGTCCCTGGGGCACCTGGATTTACCTGGACTGTGTTGTCCTGATACAAGGATACAGTGTAAAAATTTAGACAAATAATTTTGAGAAGAAAAACAGAAAAGAACTGGTCATGGAAGACTGGTACTAATTTTCTAATGCACTCCTAATATTAACTTTTAAAATAAATCTGATTCTTGCATGATATTAACAGAATATTTTTAATATTCTTTGCATTAACTTCTGCTGCCTTCTGTACACAATAACCTTACAAACAGCACAAACTCTATTTCACTGACTGGATATGGTCACTACCATCGGTAACGACGATAATGACTTCATCATTACCTCCAATGAGACACTGCTCACTGGCTGCGGGATTTCTGACACTATCCACACAAGGATCTTGGCCGTCGGCTCACTACGGGTAAAGGCCACAGGGCTCAAAGAACAAAGCCAAGTGCTAGAAAAGTCCTTCGGTACCTAAGGCTAAGGCCTAGAAAGAATAGATCTGAATTCACGAGACAGACTCCTGGATCGAGAAAAATAGAAAACCTGGTTTTCTCCAGCTCAGGGGTGTGGAGTGCAGGCTGAATTAGGACCGAGGCGGGCTCGGCCCCGCACAGGCGGCTGTCAGCCTGCTCCTCCACCACAGGGACTCCTCCCCTGCCCCAGACAACCTCCTCCCTGGCGGCTCCGAGGAAGGGCCAGAAGGGCCGGCTCCGTACCGCCCCACCCCTGCTGCTGGGGCACCGACACGAAAGGTCTGGCGGATGGCGCTCCGCGTGCAGGGCCACGGCTCCACGGAGGCCGTGGGGTTTAAGCCCAAATACCGCCGTACAACTACTGTCAACACGACCGGCCCGAATCTAAGAAACAGACCCCCAGACTGACATCACTTAAAGAACCTCCCCCTGAGGTTGTCAGAGTGGAATACAAATCTTAAAGGAGTGCACAAATATTTTAGTTGGATGGTAGATAATATAGGGCTTCCTGGGAAACAAACTCTCACCGTTTTTCTAAGGAGGCTCCACCCCAGGAGCCCAAGGTGGGACTTGAACTCAAGACGCTGAGATCAAGACCTGAGCTGAGATCAAGCTCAGGTGTGTCTGTGCACTAACTTTTAAACACACACTGAATTTTGTGCCTGTGATTTTTCTTTCCTTTAAAAAAAAACAAAACCGTTCGGTCAGATCTAGGAAAAGAATTAGGCTTCTTGTTAGAAGTGCCACTTTTTAAATTAAATTACTCAAAATAGCCCAATTTGCTTAAATGAAATTAAAATACTCTGTATTGGACTAACTGGCACTAAATCTCTGTCATTCATACCCAAGGGGTGTGCAATATTATATATAATTAATGGTATTCTAGCTCTGTCAGTGATTTTTAAACTTAATTAAAATGGACTGAATCTTTTAGAAGAGAAACTCCCATGACTGCCACTGGTGAGAAATTGCTTTCATTAACCTACGTAAATATGTATGAATCTAAAATTAGAAAATGCTGTCTGCAGAGTCTAGAAGAGCTCTAAAACCAAAATGTATATAAATATACAAACTAAATACCAAGAAAATTATAAAACCAATAAAATTTAAATTATCAATATGAATTTAACATGATGGCCATTACTTTACAGAACTAGTGTGATGCTAAAAGCATAAACATGGTACTGAGTAAGGGCACAGAGTGGGGCCTTTAAACATGCCAGGCCCCGCACGGTGGCTCAGCGTCCCGTGGCCCTTGCTGGCCACCTCTGTGGCCCTGCTGGTCTGGCATGGCTGCAGCAGGGCCCCCGTGCGCTGGCACACAGGCTGCACGGAGGCACTTGGCCAGGAGAGGGTCACCTGGCTGACACAGAACTTAGTAGATGTTCAGGTAAAACTCAGTAAGGACCCACCTCAGACTTTCTGCTAAGTGTGGCCACTGCAGTCAACGCGCTAACGTCCCCTCCCTTAGCTGCCACTAAGGTGCCAGAAAGGAACTGGAAAGGCGTCCATCCACAGTGCAACAGTGGTGAGCAGGCTTTGACAGAGGATGGCAAGGGGTGGCAGGTGTGGTGACAGTATTCTGCGCCCCCCCCTGCCCCCCCAGGGAGACAGCATGCATGCAGGGGAGGGGCAGAGAGAAGAGAGAGAGGGAGACATAGAATCCAAAGCAGGCTCCAGGCTCCGAGCTGTCAGCACAGAGCCTTGACACGGGGCTCGAACCCACAGACAGTGAAATCATGACCTGAGCCGAAGTCTGACACTTAACTGACCGAGAGCCTCCCAGGAGCCCCGACAGTCTTTTTTTCCTTTTTTTTAATCCAAGTTTGTGAACATACAGTATAATGGTTTCAGTAGAATAGCGACTCACCACTTACATACACCACCCAGTGCTCATCCCAACAAGTGCCCTCCTTGACGCCTCTCACCATTTAGCCCATCCCCCACTCAATGCCTTTCTAGCAACCGTCAGTTTGTGCTCTGTATTTAAGAGTATCTTCTGGTTTGTTGGTGACAGTCTAAGTATGCACAGGGGCCACATGCTGCGGGCCTCAGCCAGGCTGGGCACCAGGTACTGGGCTGGAGGTGGCGGAAGGTCTGTGGAATGAAATGCTGGGTCCCCTAGCTTGTGCCCATCCCATCGGAGAGAGCACACGGCTACTCCCACTTCCTGGTTCCCAAACACTGGCTGCCACCCTCTCCGAGGCTCCTCTCCAAACTGAGAAATCAAGGGACAAAAGCACGGGGGCCTGAAAGAAATGATCGGCCCCAGGGAAGCTGGCCCGGCTGGCTCCATCTTGAACATGAGCCAATGTCTCAGGACCTGCGGCCTGGGGGGGCAGAAACAAGGAAGTTGGAGGACAGACGGACAATGCCTCAACAAAACCTCACGGAAGCACTTCCTGTGCTCAGGGAGTTAACGCCTCCTAACAGGAATGACATCACCAACGCCAGCTGGGTGCCCGCGAGGTGCCAGGTGACACTGTGAGAGCTGCATTCGGTGCGTGAACCTCCCACAGCCTATGACGCAGGGCTCCCATCACCCCTCTGGGAGGGAGAGAGGCGGGTGCTGGGCGCAGCTCACCCACACTGGCAGCCCCCGCCGGTAATGGGGGGGCACGGTGCCCCTACGTCCAGAGGGGTCCCTCGAGGGTGAGCAGCGGGCTAACTGTAAGAAAGGAAAAACAAGCAAGTGTGTTTTGAAATTCAAACAGTAATAACAATTTTAAAAGTCAACACCGCCTCCAAAGCCTAGAGCAAAAAGACACAGAGGACGGAAGGAGAAAAGATAATGTGAGGATCTGGTTTGGTGGCCCATTAGCCAGTTAAACAAGCTCCAGAAAAACATCAGAGAAAAGGAACTGGGGAAAAATCAAAAAATAAAAACTAAAACAAAAAAAACCAAAGGACTAAGACAAGAGTTAGCTGACAAGGTCTGGTGAGCACCACGCCTGACGCATGAGAAAACCCTGGCCCAAGGCGCCTCACTCTGGAAACTAAACACCCAGGATAAGAGGGAAATTCTAAAATTCTCCAGAGAAAACAAACAGATCCCAGATGAAAGGAAATCAGGCAGAACATAGGAAAACGGTGGATGGAATACCAACCACCCTCAAGATTCTGAGAAAACATCATTTTCAACACATCATTCTACAGCGAGCCACTTTCTCCACAGCGTTTAAGGGAGAAGTGAAGGTTTTGAAACCTGCAAAAAGCAAAAACGCTTTTCTCAGAATGAGAACAGACCACGGGAAAGGAAGATGGGGGATGTGACACGCCAGGGACGAAGACGGCCCCGAGGAGGGGTCAAGGGCCCAGGAGAGCGCAGTCCCGGCGGGAGGAGGCTGCACAAGAGGAGATGCCGTCCGGGAAGAGCAGGGCGAACGGCTTCCACGCTGTGTCTGGGAAAGTCACTGCTAGGTATCTGACCGTGTGTGTTTAAACCGCACAAAAGACAGAGAACTAGGCATGTGAAAGAATCAGGCAATCATTGGCTCTAGGATACATGAAATTTGTAAGAAAAAGAAAACATATAAATACTTTAATTCAGTAATTTGCCTAATCAGTAACCAAAACTTCTAAGAGAATTTTCTCAACTCTTTTTTCCTCCCCCAGGGAAGGTGGGGGAGTGCATGTGGGTGGAAGGTGATGTTAGCAAAAACAAGTAAATCCTCAGGTACCATACCAGGAAGTCAGTACTTACTATTCAAAATCAGGAAATCAAAAGTTAGCAGTGAGGACATGATTCAGGGCTGCTAACGGGACTTCCCGGCAGGTGAGGAGGAAAGAGGCACCACATGGAAGGTAACAAGCATCACGGTGACATAAGGAAAAAGCAAGAACAAGAACTATGGAGCGGGGAGAGGGGCCCAGAGGGAAAACAGAGTCAACAAGGCTTTAGAAGATGGGGCAGTGAAGTCCCGTTCCTGCGCCCTGGGGTCATGGCACGGCACAGGGGCACCCGGGACACGGGAGAGCAGGGTGGGTAGACAGGTGGGGTCAGGGAGCGCGTGGCACAGGAGACGCAGGTGTGGACCTGGGCTCAAGAAGCGGCCTCAGCAGACCGTACCTCTTTTTTCTACACGGTATGAGAGAAGATTCATCTGCTCGGAGCGAAAGGGAGGGGGTACTGGGGAGGTGGGGGGCGTGTGCAGGGCGTGTTCTCAGGAGTGAGGCCACACGACACAAATGTGCGACTGTCTCAGTGCCAATGCCCATGTGAGACGTGAGGTCAACAGCTTGTTTTTAAAATCCAGCAAACCTACAGACAGACAACTGTATGCAATGCGCTGCCCTGGGGA